AATTAACATTGCTGTGGCACTGTTATAATCAAATATTGGTTTAAACAGTACCCGAATAAAAGAAGATCTATAATCCACATGCAAGGAAAGTAATAAACGGTAGGTTCCTGAGGGGCCATATCACATGGCCATTAACATAATAAGAATTAATTACAACTAATGTGATTACGTAATGAGAGCAACGAGTCCATGTGGGAACCATAAAGAAGCACTAATATGAACTTGGCCTCATGACTCAGTTTCGCAGGTGGAAGACGTATTAATTCTCAAACGTAATATATCTATATCATTACAGTGTACGATAATTAAGAAGCGGCAATCTACTTTACTCCAGTTAACCACAGTATTTACACTGTAAATTCACATCTAAATCATTCTTAACTTCCTTACCGAATGTGTAGATTTAAAATGTTCGAATACTACATATAATCACTTAGCCTACTTACTGCGTTTATAAATTGTATCTGGTTCGACAAAACATACCAACAAATATTAACATATAAATCGCGTTGTACGTCGTTTGCTTAGAAATTAGCAAGTAGCTATGGCATCCTGGATCGTGACTGGTCTGCATAGACCAGTAAAGTTCTAACAACACGCTATCCGTCGAAAAGTAAGAGTCTTAGTTTTTGTCATTCCAATATTCCTGCAAGACACTTAATTGATGCCTATATGGTACATACGATCTATCTCTGTCTCTTTCTCTCGGACTTAATTGCGTTGAAGTTCATGAGATAAATCTAGCCATGGGGTTGGAATAGTAGTAAAGCATAGTTGATTATTATGCTACATCGACACGACCAATTTCCCTTGAAAGGGATCGATCCTTTAATTCAATAAGCATAATTTCGTAACCGTTGAATACTTTAAGTCAACAGCAGAATGTATAGCGCAATGCCTATAAACAATGGAAGACATTAAATATTCAGGAAGTAGGCGTTTAATTAATTTAAGAGCCTGGAAAAATTGGTATAAGAAAGAGTGTTTCTGTCTCCCTACACTAGATTTTAGAAAGTTGTTGCGGTTTAATCGATGTTTTCAGTTAAATGCAAAGGTCTATTTGTATTCTGGTCCGTCGCTTTTGAGTGCCCTAAACTAAACGATACAGTTACACCATAGAAAAAAACCCCAAAAAACTGCTAGGCCTAGTTGCACATGAGAGTTCTATTTTGATAGGAAGAAACGAAAAACCCTCATTATCAATTCGGTTCGGTGTAAAGTAAGAACAACCGATTTGATTGTCATCTCATGCCATAACACCAAGACAAGTTAATAGAGTAATTTATCTGTCGGCTGAATCAGGCTCCAACCCCGATATGGTAAATTCGATTTAATGTTACTGTTGATGCAGGTTTCTTTGCTCCAACCGATAGATTTAGAAGATAATACTAAATTGAATAAATTATTTATTTAACAAGTTAATAAACTTACTTACGGTATGTATCGTACGAATGGAAATGGCCAATATTTAACGACACGCAGATAAAAAACATTGAATTTGACAATGTAAGCCTACTGATGACGACACATGATGAATGGTGGTGATGATGATGATAATGATAATGATGATGACGGAACGCCGGATGAATCAAGATAATGATGGACGACCGATCAGGATAAAAATAAAGATAACACGGGTACGGTACAATTTGAAAATAGCGCATATAAACAAAATGAAAAGTGACAGTTCAAAGATAATGATAATAAATTTAAAGATGTTTCAATTAAATAGTTTTCTCTTCGTTTAAATGAGAAGTTTTCCAATTTTATATAATCTGAGAACTGATTTAGCATACTCAGCTAGTTAATGATAATATATCATTTTGGAAATTACGAATCTCGTGCGAGTTCGTTACCGTACGCTTTAAATTAAATTTGTGATGACGTCCCAGGTGCATCGCTCCATCTAAGCTTAGCGACAGGTCATTGTTATAATAGGGAGCGTAGAACGTAATGACGTCAGTAAAAGTCATCTGCGCATGCGAGAACGTTAAAGTCACCTCGTCGAGTAGATTCTGGAACGTAATTTGGCAAAATCTACGTATGCAAATAGAACGTAGGTTGCCAGGTAGGACGGTCACGCATGAGTGATTCCGTTCTAGCGTCGCGTCGTCGCACAAATAGAAAGCTCCCTATTGCATAGGATTAGGACGATTCTAGACGAGTTCTTTGCATTATTACTCCTTGTATTCGTACTACGCATGCAAAATCATTGCTTATAAATTACATAGGCCTAACATACCAACCTACTCTATGATTTTATAATGATGAAAATATAATAAATATGATAATATTATTTTTCTAATAAGCGTCCAAAGGGCCTCTCTCGATTAAGCGTCACACCATGGAACCGATAAAAAAAAATGGCTATCATGCTGTCATGATTTTCTTGGAAAATAGCCATACCTTTATTAGGTGAATTTGATGCAGACTCGTAAACTTACGACAGTAATTTTATAAGTTTTGGGACCAATATTCGGCATATGCACCGAGTGTTCACTTGCCATTGCATTACACAGCTCACATTTTTTCGACGTTCAATTTACTTAGGCTACATCTGATTCTGGGTCGAACAATATGGTCTTGGTAATGATACATGTCTTCTTCAACCAGGCCTACGATTACTCCTTCTTTGTATACAAGAGCCATTATATATCATATTATACCAATACAAGGATAATAATACGACGAACTCCTGTAGGAATCTTCTTAATCATTAATATGCAATGCTGTACAAGTCCCTTGGATGGAGCATTTCATTTTTAAAAAAATTTCATTTTATTCAAGTAAATAATGGCCTCTGTCCCATTTCACATTATAAATTTAGACCGTTTTTAGGCAAACATAAATTTCTTTTTTTGAATGCTTTTTCTAAATAGATAGCAGGACCTCTAATCTTTTGCTTATCATAATATATACAAAACATTTTTCTAAGTAAATATAAGTTTAAATTTGGTATAAATTCTCTTCTTAGTGACTTGTAAAAGGGGCATACAAAAAGAAAATGGTATTTATCTATAAGTTAAAGTTATTACAAAATAAAAAAAAATCTGTTTTCTCTAATAATATTTAAATGACGACCTCTTTT